GTTTCAAAGTCCCAATAAGCTGTTTTTCCTCTTGTTAGTGTGCCTGTGAGTCAAACCATTTGAATTTGCTGAAAAACACACAGAAGAAGCAGATAACCGAATTTCAATAAATTGTAGCTCTGGAGGGCATAAATGCAATTACATTTAAACACTTCCTATGTTTTCCCTGATAGGTTGAGTTTCTCTACAAATTGGTTTTGATATGTATAACACTTACTCTATGGCTACTTAAGTCAGTTTTCTCACTGTGTATGTTTACACAACACACAGCTCAGAGGTTTAAATTAGTGTTTTGGTGCAAGATGATTTGAAGAATAACTTAGTCAGTCTGCTGATTTCCTGATTTCATCGGTCAGATGATAAGAGCACTGAAGACATTTCTCAGGCACATCACCCCTAAAGTCTGATCCAGTGTAGATCCACCAATGACAATCTGTAGTTTTTTTTTTCTTGCACATTACCTTGTGAACCTGTAAAAGAAAATGTTTTCAGTTTTAACATGTTTCAGGTCTTACATTTTTTTGTTCCCTTCCTGCATTACAAACCTGTTTCAGAAATCCTATAATTTCACAACAAACTCTGAGCACTACGTGACATTTACTTTCCTGTTCCTATGATGCAGTGTGGAGCTGCTGATCCCACGGCGGAGTGAGAATGTGTTGACTGGCTGCCACAATGAGAACAAGACATACTCAGTGCGCGCTGTCTTGCATCTGAAGAGTTGACACTCAGCATCTGGATTTTGGGCTCTGCTGTTCGAGATGCAGTCTTTTTTACTGCGTCGATGTGTTGTGACCCATTTAGTTGGTACTTTTGTTGCTAATAATAACAACCAGCTACCTGAGAATCGAGTGTTTGCTCAGCAGAATGTGTTGCCGTATTTGCCAACCCAGGGCACTTACTTACTCGTCCCGTTTTATTACGTTAAAAAGTTTTATTCAGGCTAGAGAAACACTCTGCATGACGGCCTCATCCCCAAAGCAGTGCTTTACTCGTTTATAACGTATATTTTCTAAAAAGTGATGAATATGAATTTATTCTGAAGCGTAATTGAATTTAGAGCATATGCTCACGTTCAGTGTCAGTTTTAATTATCGAGACAGAGTTTAGTGGAGTTGGAAGTTAGATTTCCCTGCTGCAAATAATTGAAATTAAATTAAATCCCGAGGCTTGGTAGCAAGACCAAAAATAACTCTGAGCCAAGTGTGTAAATTAAAGTTTACAAGTCTGTCAATTGCATGAATAGCCTTGTGATTTTCTTTGTAACTTAGTTGGAAATGTTACATTTTAAAACTGGGAAAACTGTCGACTTGAGAGTTGTCCAGCAGTCAATCACTGACAGTAAAGAAGAAAGATAAGTCAAAAAATATTATGACTGAAGAAGGTTTATATAATGAAGCTTACAAATAAATATAATTTAATTCTCCCTTTAAGAACAAAATGCGGCCTGATTCTTTAAAAATAAAACAAACATGTCAGCCATGGTAGATTTATCAATTGTGTATTTATTTACTGACATAAAACTAATTATTACAGCATATTCTAAATGTTTCTTTATGTTCTAAATAAAATGTTGAACCATTATTTGAGTCAGAACTGAGTGTCTCAATGAATCAGATGCCGGAAGCTGCAGGATGGATGTTTTGTTTCAGCATTGAGGCAACATGTATTCAAAGGTATCAAGGGCAGTAACTGTGTGTGTGTGTGTGTGTTTTGTTTTTAATAAACAGACCAATTCAAAGGCAATTGCTCATAGCTTTAAGAGCAGAGACAAAGGTCAGTTACAGCTTGCTCTACTTAAAGCAACGCTTCAATCAGGACCCAAGAGACCTCAGAAAATCCAAAGTTTTAATTGCCTCAGTTCACACAGTCAGGACTTTCATTTCATAACAAAGAGCTGCAAGCACAAATACCTTTGAGCTTGGTTCATAGAAAAGAGAAAATGTTTACGCAACAGAACGTCTCTGAATTATATAGTCATCATCATTTTTGCTGCAGTGTTTGACTTTACTCCAGTTCCTTTTTGTTAATCGGTTTTAGCGAAAGTGTATTTTTTTCTGTCTTATGGCTCTTTTTAATACTTATTATGGTTTTGGAAAAGTTGTACACAACATTTCTGTTAACAAAAGGTGTGGGCATGAAGACTCACACGGTGAGGTTGCTGTAATAAATTCTTGTCTATTTATACAGGTAGCCTAAGCTAAAAAAAACAAACAAAAAAATAAGATAACCAGTTTAGTGACAAGCTCCATCAACATAAAGATGTTTCTTTTCAAAGGTAGGCGACTGAAGGCAAGTTAAAATAAATGGCTAGATTTTATTCGGTGCTGAGAATCGTGCAACACAAGTTGCATAGATTTGTTTTTCTGTCTTCTTGTAAATTATTTACATTTCCTTCATTGTGGACAGAATTACATGCTATGGATTTGAAGTGACCTTAGTTGCCAGTACAGACTCCAAGCTATCTTTGTGTTCAAGGTTGAACAACAAGTACCCTTGAAAATGTCAAGAAATCATTGCATAACAATTTAAAAGAATATGTTCAGGTCTCCCAGAGCGAATTCTACCCAACAAGATAAACATCCTCTGATCTGTTGTTATAAATACAGAAATACATCAGATCACTTTAGGCACCATACAACCTTGGTGAACTTTGGATCGGTGCCGTTACAACAAAAGGAATGCTGCTGGTCTTTTCTTGCCAATATTAAATATATATTGTTTCTTGTATTTACTGCACAAATAACACAAATGTTATCGTTGTCTGTACAGTGAGTGGTTGGCTGCTTCCTGCTGTTAACACTACAGCGCTCATGTTGGATTTCTGAACCTGTTCACACACAGCAATCACCTTCGAGTGCGGTGAACCTCTTTAAGAAGGTGTCCTGGCTGGTGTCTATGTTTGGGTTTAAAGGCACATGATGTCAGGCTTTGTTTAACTGTGTAATGCAGCGAGATAATGGATAGTAACGCAGTCAGTTACTAGTGGACCAATTCACCTGGAATCAACAGAGGAATGAACCACAGAGCACTGTGAACATTGGCTTTTACTGTAGCGGACTCTAAGGGTGAAAATGGTGCTTCTGAAAATTGTTTTAAAAATGTAGTATACGTTTAATTTACTGACCTGTTTATTATGGAAGCTGATATTCCATAACTGCTAGCCTGGGCAGAAAGATGTCAGAAATTGTCTGCTGTCACAGTTAACTTTTTCTGAACAGCTTTAGATATAATATTTACTTTTCTTTTGTCTTTTGGAAGTACTGTGTAACTGTTCTGTAACTTGCCTACAGTTGAAATTCATTTTGGCGTCTCCATTTTGACGAAGAAGGATTTAGCTTTAACTGACGGTCAATGCGCAGTCAAGCTAAAAGCAGATTAGAGTCATTTTCAAAAACTCGACATTTTGAATGGAATTTCATGATCTAACCACAGTAAATCAAATACCATGACATTCTCATTAAATGTTGCATAGCAAAAGTTGCAAATGGTTGCACTTAGCATAATCATTACAAGAGAAAGAAGCCTTAGAATAATTAGTGGTTGTTATGAGGAAGTAGTTTATATCAGAAATAAAAGAAAGATTTTGGGTTTCACTAAAAGCTGAGCTTGTTATCCAAACCAAAAGAAAATGAAATCTGAACTTTGTGATGTTTCTCTGAGGAAGGAATGTCATTTCTTCCAGTATTTTTATAATGGTTTGTGTCAGAGTCGTTGCAGCACTCCTGGACCACATGCACAGTGGATTACGATGTTTGACTAGAAATGGTCTTGGTTTTCATTGCTGCTGCTGCCTCCTTCACGCTGTTTCTTCCAGACCTGTGTAAGTGATGACAGCCTAGCCCAGTTGGACATCTATTGTTATATAAGAATAATTGCAGGGTTGCATAAGTGTATGTTTTTATTTTTATTTTTTTTAACTTTTTGGTTTAACGTGTGAATGCTTTCTTGTTAACAACCCGAAAATGCATTTTCTTTACAAATGTGGTCCCGTTCAAAGGGAAACAAACAAGATTTCCATCATCACAAGATGCACTGCAACAAACTACAGTTAAACCAACAAAATAATTGAATCAATTCGTCTTACTTTTGGGAGTGCATAGCTTCAATACTCTATAAGACATTTCTTACAAATGCTTGTTAAATTATTTTAGAATCTCTACTGCAAAATGATCAACAATAATCACAAAAAATATGAAAAATGAAAGAACCCAAATAGATATAGATAAGAAAGTAAAAGAAAATGGTGTCTGTAGAAAATGTTCCATTCCATAGCAGAAACATCAGCTGTTTGCAATGTATTTGAAACAATTACGCTTGGTATAGCAGCCCAGACTTAGTTAGAAAATTTGATCTTCTCTACAAAAGCTGAAGAGTCCCCAATTTGCGGGAGACTCCTGCTTACCATGAAGTTGCTACCAATAGTTCCTTGTTGCAATGGCCTTCTCGGGTTCACAAGGTTCCCTTTTGTTTTTCCAAATCCAAAGATGGCCACATCTTTAGACTTTTTATTTTATTTTAATTTAATCAGACTGCAACACAAGTCTCCAAAATTGACGTTCAGTTCACAACCACCAGAACCTGCATCTATAATGAAACATTCCAGCATGGGCTATGTTGCCTCTTATGCTTCAGTAGCTCAATCTGGGTTTACTTTGTGAAGAAACACAGCAGTGAATTTAACATATAATTCAAACACTAACCCAAAAGACACTTCATTTACCTCTACAGTTTATCTCCTTATGCTCATCTGAATTTGCTTGTAATGCTCATCTTTGAGTACACAAGAACAAGAACAGTGGTACATGTCTTTGTATGATTGGTTAGGCGGGTTAGTTTATCCCACCTGAATGTGGGATAAACAAAACTTCAAACCATGAGAAACAAGTGCCAATATGTTCTCTACCTTCTTTACTTTGCAGAAAAAATATCTTTTAGTTATTTTAATCTGACAAAACACTGATCCCCAGACACAGAAAGACGTCATCATTACAAAAAAGTATGTTTTGGACATTGTTTTTTTTTTTTAATAAGTAATAAAAATAAAATCACAGTTTTATGCAACATAGTGACAAAGCATGCACCATATCCACCATATTTTTCCCCAGTAAATTAAACAGAGTTTTTACATTGATGTCACATATATTGAGTCAGATATTGCCAACAAAAGCAAAGAGATATGATAGATGTGACCTTTCACATCAGTTAAAGTAATACATGTGGTCAACATTTAGAGCTGCAGTACGTAACATTTATAAAGAATATGTCTTTTACATATTTGTTGATGTCAACACCGTCACTCAACCTCATGTATTCACTGCTGAATGAAAACAACTCACCGTTAGAGAAAAATAAAAGTTACACTGAGAACTACTGCAAAACACATCAAGAAATCTATTTAATCATAATAAGTGATCTTGAATCTGTTATGCATTTTGTATCATTGAGCCAAATTTATGAGAAACACTGCCTGGTTGTGGCTGAAAGGTGAATTGCCATGCAATTGTATCGTTCTCTTATTGAGTTAATCGACTTTTGCTTTCTTGACATAATTCTTGTTTCAGTCATTTTGACTATTTTCCCTTAATCATTAGAGTAAACTCATGAAAATCAGATTTTTCTTTTTCTCTGGACATTTTTGTCTTTCAATTTACTTTGAATGGATGAGGTGAAACCTCTTGGAGTAAATACTTTTTCACAGCGATATACAGTGTTTGGAAATATTTTTTTTTCACATATGGCAAACACATTGTGAAGAGGTTTTATTCATATTAAATGATGTTCCTTTGTGTCATATAAATGTAATGTTTTTTTGAATCACAGTCAAGGTGTTTTTCTGTGGAAACGGTGTACAAACTAATGAAACATGATGTGTCTACTGAAGTAAGTTTCCAGGGTTGCTGAACTTCCACAGACAGTTATTTGGGAACTCGTTTTTCCCGTGGCCTTCCCTGCATGGAGATAGAGTGTTTAGTTTTCACCTCCCATAGACATTACAGTGAATGAGCGTACAAGGTTTCGTATGTTTTTCTTTGTTTCTTTTGTTTGGTCTTCGAAGATCGAGTCTCCACCTCGGTAGTAGAGAGAGATGAATAAAGTAACTATGCGACTCTGAGTTCCTCAGAGAGGATCCTAATTTGTGCCTAATGCAGTATATTTCTTGCTCTCCTTCTGGAGATGTATTAAAGATTGTTTTTGCTCCCTGACTTTTGTCTGGACCTCAGTCTCTGAATTGTGCACTTCACAACATATAAAATGTCACCACAAGAAACTGCAAGTTATCTAAAAGTAATAAGTCTTGCACCTCGTTATTGTACAGAACAATAACGCAGTAGTGCCACCCAGTGGAAAGTCGTGCTACAAATAAAAGTCTGTGTTGTAATTTAAAGTTTGAAGGGTGACCACTGTTTGAGCCAGTCATAAATATATCATTGTTTCTTTTTAGTTTTGTTTATATGAGATTTCTACTTTGCCTTTACAAAACAAATTAATAAATCAATATTCACACCTGAACATAAAATTTCCCAAAATCCCAAAAGAAATACCTGCACACAACCATAAATCCCCAAGCATTAAGAACTGCTTATCTCAATTAGTAGCTCTTTTTCAAAAATCTGAATCAATAGCCAAAGGGCCTGCATTTCTACATGATAATAATCTTCATCCAGATCCCCATAATAATGCAGATCCATTGGAGTTGGGCTGTGCTCCCTGATGAAACCAGGCGACTGGAGATGTACGTGTTGAGAGAAGGCATCCACAGTGAGCAGTTATAAGGCAGCCTCTCGTTCCCTTTCTCCAGGGGAGCTGTACTCTGGACAGTGAAATATCCATTGTCGTCCACATTTTGTTTCGTTTCGGTGCCATTTGTGAGGTTTACGTCTCCCTGGAACCAGTGGATGTCAGCAATGGGGTAAACTTTCTCAAAGGAGCATTGGTCAGGCTCTATACCCTTGCGAGGCTTTCCAAAACAGTCTGTGAAGAGAAATGACATTCAGAAAGATCAAAATACAACAACAGAACAAGTAGTTCTGAACTGACTAACCTCCAACTCTCAGATGGCTCTGCCCATTCGCGGCTGCACCCAGTGAGTGCAGTTTGCAGTGGTAGACTCCTTCATCGGACGGGATTATGTCGAGGATGGTCAGAGAGAGAGTGAGTTCAACTGTTGTGTTACTGAACTTGCACTGAGTCTTGCTGGTAGATGTATTGTTCATGAACTGGCACAGTGTTGTATTTTTGTGTTGCCAGTCAAATTTGACAATCTTTGAATCCTTCGGCATTGCTAATTTGGCACTGCAATTCAGGGTCACATTTTCACCACAGGTCCTAGACACCTTGGGTTGAGTGGACAGCTGCTCACACTGACTCACTGTGTAAAGACAGAAAAATCAAGGTTAGACAGCATGACTGAAAATGTAGGAACCACAGCAACTTCCTAAGAACTAAAATCCGCCGACACGTGAGAAAGAGGAAACATGCACTGGATCAAGTTACAGATTTAAGTGTTAATTTCCAGCTGGAGTCTCCAACCCCCAACTTATTCACACATCATCTTTGCATTAACCTACAATTAACTTTGATCTGTTTCACATGAGTAACAGCGACATCAGTTTCAAGGTTTACAAAGGAACAATTGCTTAAATCTTTGACTTTTAAAAAAATATATATTTCCTTGGCTCTGGTGGCTTTTATTTGAAAGTGAGAGGACAGGAAACTAAGTTGTGAGAGAGGGGGAAGAAATTTGTGACTAAAATCTGTGATGGTTTCATAGAGGACTGAGGCCTTTGGGTTGTGTGCTCTCCCCCCACGCCACCACCGCGCCCTAAATCCTTAACATTATTTCCCATTTGCAGTTATCTCAAGATCTGAGGAGTCTGTGGAGTTTCCAGTCAAAATATCAATTAAAAAAAGAACAACTTTTTTAAATTATGTGTTTTCTTGATTTGTCACAGAACAGTTATTTAGAACTATTTATTTTTACTAAGTATTTTGCTTTTCATTCAAAACCAGCCACAGTGAAAACTTATGATCCAGTCAGCCCAAAGTGACGTAATGAATTACTCACAATGCAAATTGTAAAACCGACAAGAAAAAGCGCGGGGTAAATGATTTAATACATTGAACATGCATGATTTTTTGTTCTGTTTTGAGATGTTCAATCACAAAAATTACATAACTAACACAGTTGCATATGTTTTTTGTAATATGCGTCACAGTTTTTCATACTCATGAGAAGTGAGCATGCCATTTTCGCATGCTTTTATTGAAAAGAAAATCTACTCACCAGAAATGCTGACCGTTAAGGTGAACCAGAAAATAGAAACCCAGACAAAACCAAGTCGAGTCCATGGAGCGTGGGAGGGCCTCATTGCCTTCAATCGCATTCAAATCAACATTTATCACGTTAAAACAAGCAACATTAACTGGATCTGAAACAGAACAAAGTTGTTGGTACCTACCATGGAGCGTCTCTTAATTCAGCAGTTTTTGCTATGAATAAATCAGTCTCACTAAAGATACCAAAGCTTGAGAGGAGGATCCCAGCCTCAACCACTTTGCAGTTTTAAAAGAAACTTTTGGTCTGGGTGGTGCACTATCGGGTTTGTGACTGAACGTGACTGGGCCTGCCCTGGAATGGATGAGCAGGAGCAGGCAAAACAATGATTTATTTCAGCTGAATGAAACAAATGCTTCTGCTGAGATCCATTGATCATCTAGCAACCTGTTCTTTACAATTATTTATATTTTCCTAACATAATTATACCATAGTCAACTAAATGTTTTGTGCAATTGTATTCTACAAATTTTTTCTTTTGTAACAGATTGTTGTGTTTAAAATAAAATGGGTTCTCTGTTACTTGCTACATGATGATATCATGTGTCTAATGTGAACTGAAGCCAAGTTAAAAACATTTTAAAAAATGTGAATATCAACTTGCTTTTCAATCAAACTTAGACTTTTTTCTTTATATTGCAAAAGTATTTCCATCCCGAGAACTAGTTTATGTTTTGTCATGTCAAAACCTCTGAATTCAACAAATTGTATTGGGATTTGGAATATGTCACTATTAGTTCACTACTGCATAACTTGGGAAGCTGGACAATTGACATGAAACCCAAATGTGAAGAATGCGGAGCTGCTAGGCCAGAACCCGAGCAGACAAACGGAGGGAAGGTAAACAACAAGAGGTAAATGAACACGGAGGGGCAAGACATGAGATAAAGGAATCTGGATGGAGCGAAATAAATGACTACCCTGGAGGAAAACCTGCATATGACTCAAGACTGAGGGGAAGTTTCCCCTTCCAGCAGAACGACACCAAACATACAATCACAAATGGAAGCATATTTACTGTCAGATCTAAATTCATTTGACAATCCCAGCAAAACGTGTCATCCAGTTTGTGTTCAAGTTGATGAAGGCACAGCTTGAAAACCGTCACCCGTAAATAGCTGGTCAAAATGTGTAAACTGTGCCTCTCGACATTACTTTTCACGGCACCATGAGAAATTAAAAAAGAAAAAAAAAATTATTACAAGTGCATTGGTCAAAATAGCTTCCAACCAAAATCCCCCTTAATTGTTGTTTTGGGCGATTTATATTTTTAAAGTCATTTTATTTTCCTTCGTGAAAATTACTCCGAAATAAATATGTTTGTTTCAGAAACAAACAAATTTGTTTCTTCTGTCTCAGCCAGAAGAAGCACAGAAATGACTGATGTAGCGAAACTGTTTGAGATCAGTTGGACATTTTTCACAAAACCTTGACAGGTTTGACTCTCATTTACTCATAAAGACTTTATTGTCATTTGCCAACTTGTCTCTGCAGATCATCAAGTTGCATTGTGAATTCTTTTGTACGTCTTATAAGCTCTCACAGCCTGGACCGGCATGTCGCTGCAATGAGAAAATAAAAAGTACGGCAGACTGCAAGTAAACCGGAACAAAAATATGAAACCACTATTAACACTGAAACTACTGAGTCTGAACAGATTTGCACGTTGTCCTGGAAATACATTTTCATACAAATTATATAAAAACACAAATGCATGTTATTGATAATAATTAAAAAATAGGTAATAGGATATAAAGTTGCTGACAGGATTAAATAAATAGAATGGAATGATGCTGTCATTTCAGTCTCCAAAGTTTGAAATGTCACATGTCTATGCTTAATAACATATTCAGGCATTTTGCAGAATGAAATAATACTATTCTATTTTATTGCTATATTATAAAACTTTTTACAATTTAAAAAATGTGAAAAAGTTCACATTGTTGCTACATTTGGCCCAGAAAATATTTGTGCCATTTTATGCATCCTTCAATTTCTGTTGCAGCTTTATTGTACCTCATGTTTTCATACATTTTCCTTGACTTTTATTAGCATCTTTTTCAATTTTATCGCATTTAGACCACAAGCCTCAAAGTTTGTGGATGAGTTAGTGGCAGTGTGTCAGATGCACTAACAGAAAGCAGCACTTAATTTTGAAGCGGAATAAAAAGTAAAGAGATACATCCAAAAAAAAGACTTTATCATGAAAAGATTTGCCATTTTTTGTCATTCAGTTCAGAATGTGGAACTCATATATTACATCTATGCCTTTTACATACACAGAGACATGTCAACCTTTTGTTTCTTGTAATTTTGATGATTATCCAAAACTTAGTTTCTCAATTTACTTTAAAAAAAACAAAAACAGGAAACTTTACATAGAAATGTCAAGCTTCTTTCATTTCCCTCAATACTTGGACTTCCTTCTGCATACATTTCTGCATCAGTGCAGCGTGGAGTTGGTTCTGCTGGGATGTGATGAAAGCCCGGTTTGCTTTGATCGCAGCCTTCAGTTCATTTGTACCGGAGCCCAAAAGGAAAGGATTTCTGTCTGTATAACTTTCTGCGGAAAATCTCCCAATCCGTGATCTGGTTTTAGTGGTGAGATCAATCATTTAATGGTATTTAATATTTATTCTGAGATCCTAAAAAGAAATTATGTAACTTCTGTTGTGTACTAGAATGCCTCTGTAGAAATAAACGTGCTTCATCCTGCAGAAATGAAAACATTCAATTACAAAGTCAGCGTTTCGCAAAAAACTTTGACACTATCTTCCAGATGTTCAAAGACTCCACAAGAACAGATCGACAAACAAGCTGAAACAGGCTCAAAGCACCTGAAGCAACCCTCCATATGCTCCATAAAAAAAAACCTCCATAAAAAAAAAAAACAGTTCCTTTTTTGTCAGTTTTCATCACTGATTGGAGTGTGTAAGAAGAAGAGGACCAAATAAAGAATTCAATGAAGTACTGGGGTGGAACATTTTACTTGCACATGACAAAAACACAGTTTTCTCTTGCAGAAAACTCAAAGGAATGAAAAACACTCAAAGTGACAGTTATCGGAAGGACGGGAATACAACGGGAGGTTAGGCAAAACAATCAAGTACAGGTTATAAAACTGGAAGCGGAAGAAAGACACCGGTAAAGACTGATCACAGAACATAGAAAACAACAAAGGCTGATTACATCACATACAACGTGAAGTGCACACTGAGGACACCTGGTGGATAGAAGAACACTTTACAAACCAGGATTTTGAGGATTATTTAAAAACTAATAGGTGTCCGATGATGCTTAGAGTTCAATCAAAATATTGACATGTTGATTTCCAAGAATGTACAATGTCTAAATTTAGTGAACTGTCTCACTGAGGGAGTCGACACCAGAAATCCAGATGATTTTGTAGCTTTCGTCTCTTAGCGTAGTCAATATAAACAATCGTGACCCAACAAATGACACTTTTTCATGTGTGCAATTAGGTGCCATAGTGCTGCAATAAATCAGGTGCTCATCGAAAACACAGTGGAAAAAATAAAGGTAAGACGGCACGGTCATTGATATTTCACCAGAAGATCCCAGACAAAGACAGTGACAGTGTTGAGAATAAACTTAGAAATGGTGATTTTCACAAAGTCGGTCGTTCAATGTGAACATATAAAAATAAGTCAGTTTATGATGAACATAAAGGCTTCGTGGTATTAAGAGTTTAGACATTGTAAAAAGATTGTCAAACAGATCACAGCTCCATAAAAAGCCGAGATTTTCAAGAAGTGGCTTCTTGAAGTCTTTTCTAATGAAAAGAAGATAAAAAAGTATTATCTTTCGCTCTCTTTTTTTAGCTAACTGCTTGATGTGAGAGAGCCACTCATCAAATATCTCTGCGTCTTACTCTTGACAGATGGAAAATTCAAAGACCTCAGCCTGCAAGTAGACAATATAATAAAAACATTGATACAATTACCCAGTTCTTCAAAATTTTCACTGAGAATCTGCATAGTTTGATGTATAGACTTTTTTTTTGCACTGCATGCTTTCAGAAAAAAATAAAGGGAATCTGCAAAGTCTTGACAGCTGACACACCTGCGATTCACTGACTTGAACAAAAATTTACATATTTTAAACATCAAGCCAAATGCAAGACTCTCCTCTGGATTTTACTGAGTTGTTATGACAGTCTGTTCTAACTTGCAGCTGCTGCACAATAAAAAAACTACTCTTAACCAAACCTCTGTCAGAGAGCCAACTCATCTGAGTGATCGATAGTCTCTTTGTGCTTGGTAATACGGGGTTTTGTATTATTGCCTTTCAACAGTTATGGCACGAGGGGAACTCTTGGACCTCTGTTTTCTTAAATTAAAATCTGAATAACCTGCCATTCATTTATATTCAGCCCCATGATAGATTTCAAAGAGCTTCCAGTTCAGCATGTTACCTTCAGAACAGAGTCTGCCTGCATTGGGCAATTCAATCTGAGTATAAAAGCAATTGTTGTGCAAAGGCCTTGTGGGTTTGGTAGAGATCGGGGAGAAAGTTGTAGAGGTTTCGAGCGGTGTTTGGTGATGAATCAATATTTCACTTTCTTTTTTTTTTGTTTACTTTTTTTTGGGTCTTCTTTGTTTTGTTTCGTTTTCAGAGGGAGGCTGGGGGAGGGGAGAATATCTAACGTCTTTCTTCCTTCATACTCCAACACACTCTTTTGTGTTGGTCTATAAACAAATGCTTTTTGTTTCTTTGATTTGAAAACGTTACATTTTCCATGAACTGTATGTTTTTCAGTCATGAAAATAGACACAGACGCCTGGCGAATGATTCCTGTGTGACAACAAAAATGGCTCAAATAGAGAAAAACACACAATCACAAAAAGAGGGAGAATCAAAAGTGAATCTACAAAATATAATTCTGCAGTAGGTGGTGTCCTTGGCCACAGCCATCAGATGATTATATTATTTTTCTCTTTTATTTGAAAGGATTAAAGTTCTCTCTTCAGACTTGTGTTCAATAAACCCATTTCGACTGATGTCTCTGATAACAGTCAAGGAAGGTTCAGTGATGAATATTTTAGAGATTTCTTTTTGAAAAAAAACCCCAAACAAAACAAAAAAACAAAAACAAAGGTGAGGTGCTTAATAAGCTACAAAAAGTATTCCCTCAAGGAAAACATTCAAGGGCAGTGAAGATATTTAATGTTTTCTTTGCAAAGGTTAATTTTTCAACATCATATTTTTTTAAATGCAAACGTGAGGAATTAAGACTTTCCAAAGTTCTCCCAGAGGATTGGTAAAAAAAAAAAAAAAAGATGGCGATAACCATCAGGTCTCATTTTTAATATAATGGCTGAGATTTCCTTCTATTCTTGTTTTCACTTACTCGATTAAAGACCAAGGGCGATTTTAAAAAATTATTTCACAGCATGATGTTTTCTGTTCTTGAGATTTTCTTTTATTGTAAAAAAGATATTTCGAACATTAAGAGATCTCTTCTTTCGTCGGGAACTCTTCTAAGACAGTTTCTGCCTCCGCTATATTCACATCTTCATGTTTTAAGATCCCTAAATGAAAATCTGTTCTTCTTAACAAAAAGTCATTTTGCAGTAGGGTAAGATAAAGCATTTTTTAAGCAATAAAGTAACTTAGAAAATTAAATTACTTCATTTATGTCCGTGTGCCTCTTTGCAGATTACGACCATTCTATAATTAAAACAAAAACTCCACATTTCTATTAGGTTGGTATCATTGCAAGAGTTCCTGTAAAGTAGAAAGTTGTGCTTTCAGACAAGCGAGTCAGGACCCAGCACAGCAAAAACTGTTTCCATGGTGAAGAAAGATACTGCTGCTCTCATGTTATTGCGGCAATGTTTTATTTATCGCTTCAGGATTATCTTAGGGGTTGTTATCTCTTTTTCTCTTGACTTCAGTGTCATCGCCCTTCATCCCAACATACGCATATTTTAACACTGTAGTGAGAAACAAGGATTTCTATCTAAATTAATTAAATTAATGCAGATGAGTGGCTAACTGGAGCTGTTTTCTTTATTTGTTTATTAATAAGCAAATATGACACAACTTTCAATGACATACTTATTTTTTTTGTTTGAAATCTGTATTTTTGTTTTTTTCTTTTACATCTTTATTCCAAGATCCCCGTGAGAATAAACCGTGGCAGTATGTCAGTACAATTATTTTGGCGTTTCTATTGAGAAACATGTCAAATTGCATTCATGGTTGTTAAACTATTATTATACTTTTTTTTCTGTTTCTAGAATTAAAATGGAACATCCTCATAAACAAATTAACTAAATAACTAACAAAAAATTGGCACTTTTTGTACTCCAATACTGAATGTCGTTTGTCTGCCACCAAGTGTCGCTGCTGAGCTACATTTTGCTTTTCAACTTGGAACTATCCACGGTGCTGAAATGTCTCCGAAAGTTTAATCACACCTAATTTGCTATACAAATCACACCTGATTTCCACTGAAAACAAAACAAAAACAAAAAGTCACTGAAGACTGTTGAAGAGGTAAAATTGATTGTTGAAGGATTAAAAATACTGACAGATATCTAATACTTATTTATACAGAAACAACATATTACCTGTAAAAGCACCATTTTTGTCAAAGTGATCACCATGTCGAGTGATCATCTCTTTCAGTCCCTATCTCTGTTGCTGTGGTCTGTCTCTTTTTTTCCTGAGTCATTCTTGTGGCCAGCATCTTCTGGGACTTTGCTCAATAAAACAGGATTCACCACAGCATTGTGTTGTGGGAACATCCAGTAGGCACTAATCTCCATTTCATCGAAAGGACATTAAGTTCAACATTTGAGTGCGTTCGACCGTTCCTGTCCATTACAAGGCCATCCAAACAAAACGTCCAGCTGATGTCCCTGCAGTGCAGCAGTTTCATTTGAAACCTCTTTAATCATGTTTTTCTGGTTTGTGGAAGTGCCTCACAGGGTAGCGTCGCATTCGCCTCTGCTTAAGGGCCACTCATACTTTGTTCCACGCAGTTACAGAAAAGATAACTCTGTGGGCACTTTGTCTTGATATACTGATAACTGAAGCAGTAATTACAGAGCTTTGATATGATTCACTCAGTTGTGTAGGCAATTTTAAAGCCATTATTGTGTGGTTAGTACAGTTTTTATTTTTTATTTTGTCCTTCTGCTTCCAGTGATTGATAAGATTGTATCTGAGGAAGTAGTCTCCTGGCTGCAGAGATATCAAACAACACAGTCAGTTCAAGCCTTGAAGAACAATAGACTTGATTCAACTAGTTATTTTTAGAATGGATTTTAAGGTATTTGAAGCTTTCTTTTTCTGCTTGGATGTTTTATTCTGGTCTGAAACATATTCTTTATGTTTCTTTAAATAATATTGGGTTGTTTTATACTCCTGGTTATACTGAAATACAAGTGGTACCTGGGTTGCCAGTTTGCAGTACTATGAAGACGGTATAGTAGTCACTGGTAAAGTCAACACAGAAAGAAATGAACGCTGGTGTTACACCAACACCCAACATGATCAGGGATGCATCTAAATACATGTTTGCTTCATCGGAAACATTTCAAAAGAGAATTGCAGTAGGAAGAAAAACTTCAAGACCCTCCAGTACTTACTAAAACAGACAGCAGTGAATCAGAATCAAGAGCTGGTGGGTTTTTTAACGTTATTTTCTATTGATGGCATAAAGTTGGAATTTGGATCTGGGAATGACATCCAACTCCACTTAACATCGCTCAAGTTCCTTGTTTAAAAAAATTTACTGGTATCAGTCAATGATATCTTTCTCCACTCTTTGCATTTTTAAACTTTGTAAATAACATTTTCCCTGGAGGAGAACTGACCGTTAGGTGGCGCTGTCAGTAAATGAAACCGCAGCCCTGCTGTCTTGCAAAGACAGTGAAAGTCGGGGCTCCATCCACTCTGAGCATACACTGAACTCAGCAGCCTGTCCTCACTGCGCTCCGAGCCGCTTTACTCACCGGGGAATTTGAACTCGGAGCTCATTAAAGGACTATCCCCGAACATTTCCTGCAGTCCACCCTGCCGTCTGCTGGACGGAAGCCGCAGGAATCTCCGCTGAAGTTGTGACGGCACGGAGAGGCGAGGAGAGGCGAGGCAGGAAGTGTTTTGAACGCGCTCGTGCTGTTTGACGCGACTTGGAAGTGCAGATGAGCAGGATGTCAGTCGGACCCGACCCTGTCTCCGCGGGCGGAAAATGACTGCAAGCGTCGGCGAGCTTTCCACGATGGTGAGGAGATGCCCCGTCACTTTCAAACCGTTCAGGTGAGATCGCGCTCTGTTCGAGTTCGGTGGGTCAGAACCAAACTAGCGGCAAGTCGTTGCTGGACGTTAACTCGATGGATTTCAGTGAAATTAAACTTTAAGACATTTTTTTGTTTTTTTGTTTTGTTTTGTTGAACAGTTGTAAAATCACAATTCTTTTTTTCTGAGCTAATTAAAGAGTTGAATATGTATTGACTCTAAAACCGACTCCTATGTGTTGTAGCATGATCATGACAATAAACTGTAAATGCAACACAAATTGCATTATGGTTTCTCAAATTTAAAAGGTATCGTCTGTCAGTGCACGTCTTTGCATATCTGATGCAGAATCTGCAAGACATGAGGTTGGTGCGCTGCACGCTGCATTTTGAATTAGTGATGATTTATTCGTTTCAGTGGAGCAAATCTTGCAAGTTCAGACCATTTGGATTAATTGGGACGACAGGGCACAGCCTGCTCCACAATTAAGGTTTGCTTACTCAGCTCCAGAGTCTTTCACTCTCCCGGCTGCTGCATGGGGAATGAGTGAGAGCCAAACAAGCAGACACATCATTAAAACCACTGAGCTCAACAAGATGTCCCAAACTTTGTGGCTTGCAGCTTTGCATATTGAACAATCCAGGGACAATACTTGTGGGAATTCAGCTTTTCAATTATTTATTTATTTATTTTTTAAGACGTGTGCTTGAGATCTTTGTTCCAACTGAACGCTTAATTTTGTCAAAGTTTCAAACATCTACATGCCAGTTTAACAAGAAATCAATTTGCAACAATTGGTTGGCACTTTCTTCACATTGCACACGGGACAGCCCCCAAGCATGATGCCACCACCACCATGCTTGACTGTGTTCTTTAATTTGAAGGCCTCACCCGGACTTGTCCAATAATTTTTCTCATTGTTGTGGCCACATATCTCAATCTAGAACTTTTCTCCAGAAGGTTTTCTGCTTGTTTATGTAGGCAGATGGAACTTCAAACTCAGTGCCGTTTATTTCGGAGCAGCTGTGTTGTTCAGTTGGCGTCATCCTCAAAAGTCCATGATGACATTAAACTCTCTCTGCTGATGTGTCAACATGCTCCAGTTCACAATACACTTGTTAGTAATTTCCTTTGATTTGACAAGGACATTTTGGGTAAGAAGTAGTTTGATATAAACCAGTTTCGAAATGAATAAAGTGGGCAAAATTTTAAGATTCTGAATTTGGACTTGACTTTAACACCATTGGAAATGAATGAACTATGCTTAAAAGTCAAATCTAATCCAATTTAAACCAATCAACTTTAATTAGCTCTGGCCAAATATCCAGGTAGACGCATGTTGAAGGCTACAGAAAGCAAGCAGGTTTACAGTAATTTCACAAGAGAGAATAATTAATCCACCGGATTAATTATTCAGGTGGATTAATCTGAATATCCACCTGATATCCACCTGAATTGCACCAGATGCGAACATATGTTTGCAAACAGATGCAAACATATGTTCGCATATGTTTGCATCTGGCTGGATAAGAAACCCATTGCACCTAATTCCTGTTATCAAAATTACCTGAAGTTGTTTGTTTTTCAGCCTTCCCACTCTTAAAAAGGAGAACAGCGGCATTAAAAAGCCTAATAAATGTATTTGGTTCATAATTAGGACAGATGTGTGTAAACTTTTGACCAGCTCATTGCATCTGATTTAATTCGACCAAACGTCAAATTCTTGTACCTTCCACTGATGTGAGCATTCATGTGTGAGTTTTTCAGCATTCTAATGCAGATATTAGTTATGCTCTGCCTGGTTAACTGTACCCTCTCTTGTGTGAGGTTTCTGCCATGTGAAGAAAAACAACAAAACAAAGCAGAACGTTAGAGGAATGAGGTCTGCAGCAAAAAGTGTGACAATCCGTCCTGCAGCTTTGCCTCATGAAAGAATTTCTTCCACACCTTTTCCCAGCACGACATTTGCTGGAGCATTCCAATTCCAGCGAGTCAGTTTTTGGAAATTTACTCCAAAGCTTGCGAGAAGTAGGCAAATGTTTGCCGCTTTCTATAAAACACAGCACACATCCGTCTTTAGATGAATGGATTTATTTCGTGTTGTTGCCCACTGAGCACAGTGTGATGCTGGAAATCTGTCCACATAATGGTTCACTTCAAATGACACAGCCAGGCGAGTACACAATGCTTCCTTGCTGCTTTGGTCGGTACAATATGAAGCTTAAGAAATTTGTCCATGCTTTGTATATCCACACACTCACACGCACGCGCCAGACATTTTACTCCATGCTCCACTTGAGCTTTTCAGCTGCAAAAATCATCACCTGCCCCCATTTTTGTTTTTCTTCTCCCCCTTGTACCTTGTAAATCGCTCGTTTTGTAAATTGATCAGCCTTCTCGCCTTTTTTTTCTGCAGGATCTTTGTCGTCGGGGTCGGCTTCTTCAGCCTGTGCTTTCTAATGACCTCTCTCGGGGGCCAGTTCTCGGCGAAGCGACTCGGAGACTCCCCGTTCACCACGCGAGCTGAAGGTAAGTCACACATCAGTGCAGCCTGGTAGCCCGGTGGCTCCAGCCGAGCTGTGTCTTGGGCCGGTAATGAGCAAGCTGGAAACACGCTGACAGATCCGTGGAGCTGCCTTGATTGCTGCCAGCCAACTGACAGACCTGTTCACTTTTCCCATCAGGGGGGCACCAGAGGGGCACATTGCCCTGAGAGGCCTTTTTCTTTCCTCATCAAACCTTTTATCTTTTTTTTTCTCTCGCTTTCATGTCGTGACCATGTTCTTGCCCATTTGGAATCATTTTGTCTGCAACTCTTACAGCTGAAGACTGGATGCTTTGAGACCTTTAATATATTTTATTGGGTGTCCATGTCACTGAATGCGGTGAAAGATGTATATTCTTTACGTTTCCTAAATAAAAATCTGAAAAGCCTGCCGAAGTCATCTAATTTTGGAATTTGAGATGTAAAGATTATAAGCTGAAGAAGCAACCAGGAGTCTCGGGGTGACTCTGGAGGAGCTGCAGAGATCTACAACCCAGTTTGGAAATTTTATATGCAGGATGTTGGGGAGGAGGGTTAGTAACTAGGTAAACATTGTTGTTTACAGGAAGGGACTGGAAGTTCAGTTTCAAGTTTAACGCATGTGGAAGAAGGATGAGATCAAAATATACTTGTTTGGCCTAAAGCAGAGACTGTTTAAAGAAAAACTAACACTGTACTTTATTGTGAATTAACCATATGCACTGTGAAGTTTAGTGACGGTAGGATAATGCTGTGGTGATACATTTCTTCAGGACTATAGATGAGTGCAGGTATCTTGGAAGGAAAACGTTTATGAGTGTAATCTATAAAAACTAAACAAAACAACATGCTGTCAGTTCAGTCATGCAGTCATGAGTTGTCTTCAAAATTAGTCTCCCAGGGAGGAGTTGAGATGGTAATATATATAATTATAGACCTAAAATATAGATCTGGAAGCCACTGTGATAAAAGTGAAGCACATTTTGCCTTGATAGCTGCATATTTCCAACTGTCAGCTGCGGTTAAAAAATAATACCGAAATAGATTCTCCTATCCTCTCAGAGATCAACAATTCAGAGACTTAAGAAAGAGAAATCAGAGTTGTTGACAACCCGTCCCTGAGAGAAACCCGGCTTTCTCAGCGCGTTCTTCGCGTTTACGCTTTCTGCCTCTGCATACAAACTGTGGGAGCTTGTGCCACTTAGTGGAGTCACTGTTGGTTCTTGGACTGTTGTCTCCCACCTTTTTATCGCTGCTCGACACAATAGTGACACTTTGGGTCAATCTGTGTAACGGATCCCAGCTGGTGAGAGAGGGAGAGAGAGACTGCAGCTGCTCTATCCAACATCACTCATCCAAGGACAGCAGTTGTTGACAGCTTGTTGCACCGTCGTCGGTTTATTTATGTATAAACGAGGAGGCAGCGATTGCCACAGACCTACTCAATGATGCCGTTTGTCCTCAGGACTGCTGGTGGCTTTTGATGACCGTGATATGCACACGCTTGGCGACATCCTCGCTTGATATGTTTATTTGTTTTTAAAGAAGAGAAGAAGTGGAGTTGTTGCCCTGCTGTGTTGTTGAAAAAGTCGACTAACAAGAGCTGCCCGTCGGCCCGGGCGTCTTCACTCTGTTTTGAAAAAGGGTTGCTTTTAATTGAATGATATGTGTGGGGAAAAAATGTGGGTACTTGACTTTGGAAAAAAAAGAAACAGAATCAAAAAGATACAAATAATTTGTGAGAATAATTTAGCCAGTGAAACAGTTTTACTCGCTAAAGAAGCAAGAGGACACATTTATTTTCATTTGGGATGCAAGTGAAGGATGATTTCACAGGGGTTTTAATGAGCCTCAACTGTTTGATCCTCTGATCAGGCTGTTCAAGTGTAAACTAGAAGATTTTACGCATGTTGGAGATTCTTTAAAGTTTGAGTTTTATGAAACCTTTAATCTATTTACGAAAAACAAGAAAAAGAGCATGTATGTCTTCATACAATTCACTACGTGAATTTTCCTAAATTACAGATTATTTAAAACACAACACTGTGGACTTGGAAGATGTGGGATAGTGTTTCTTTCTGCATGTTTGAACTTAGCAACACACATAGACAATCGACTGTGTGAAACCTCCTGTGGAAAGCCTATTGGACCAATTGTGGGTCTCCTGACCGATCAGCTAACTAGACACACCTGCACCTTCAAAATTCTCTGAGGAAGACTCCTTCACAGTGCAGTTTTTGACATTGAGTCTACATTTCTGCAATGCTTTGGCTGTTGCTGAATTTTAGGGCTGTTGTTTTAATATTTATACATTTCTCACAATGGCATCATTACGAGTAAGATGTCAGAAACATTGCCCAGTGTTTGATTTCTACTGAGACTGGCTTTTCCAGTGAAAAATAGGAAGGTACCAGCTGTATTCACCAAGTTTGTGCACATATTTAAGTACAGACTCTCAAAATCAGTACTTTCCCATGCAATTACTGTACAGTACTGGAGTCAATTTTCTTTGCTACTGCCCACCTCTGGCATCCACTAGGTTTTACATATCAGAGATAATCTGTTACAATCCTAATTCTTAAATTGACAGGTTTGCACTGCATTGAGTGGCCCGAAGATTCACAACACAAAAATGTTTTTTTTTTGTGTGTGTGTTTTTCTCCCAAAAAAATTATTTTTGGTGAAATCTTGCATCCCAGTATGTTTAGAATAGATTTCCCATCATCATGTCATACTGCCCTGTGTTTTTGGGTCACTAAAAGATGCAAAGAGTGAGTTAACATGGCGATCCGGTGATGGGGACAGTCACTGTGGTATTTAAAAATATAATTTTTAGCTCCTTGTTTAAAGCTCAACCTCAGCAAAAACCCATGTGGCTCTAGAAAAGAGGCATTGGCAGCAATGAAATGTTGCGAAGTGCATCAGGTGTCATCACGGGAGGCAATTTAAACGGTCTCACCTATTTATACTTTGCTGTAGGGTGAATGGAGAGAGGAGGCTTTGAGGGGGGCAGAGGAGGTGTTAGACAGGAGAGCTGTCTGATTAATTAACCACTCGTAGCCTGCAGTCAGGGGAAGGCATCCTGCCTGAAGCTCATTAAGCACCGCTGCGATGCTAACCTGAGCGAGGTTTGCTGTGGAAATTCTCATCCTCTGTGTGGGTGTTTGTCTACATGAGCGTGTTTGTAGCTGAGGATTAGCAGCATTAAAGCCGCTGTAATGAACGAGATGAAACATGTCGTTCAGTGGAGCAGCACTTTGATGGCGCTCGCCGAGCTGAGCCGGCTCGTCTTTGCTGCTGAAAGCTGTGAAGTGCTGCAGGATACATCAGTGCTGGTGTTGTCTGATGACATAACGTTCATGCTAAAAGCGTGAAGTTTTCATAAGAGCTTTTAGAAGTTCTTGTGCGCTGACAGTTTCTTTTTTTTCTGTTGTTCTGGGAGGAAAAAGAAAGAGTCAGAGATTGCCTGTGATTTTACTGATTGAGGAAAGTGGGAAAAGTGAGCAGAACATTCCTGCTTTTGTTTTTTTTTTTGTCTTCTTTTTTTCTTTATGATATTGCACAGCCAATCGCTTGGATCTAAACCTCCATCAAGATTTTGGAGCCATTTATCACCTTCATTATTTTCCTTTGAAGAAAGGCACAGGAAACTAATGATGTGGTGAAAAAGTGTAAGAAACGGGGACAGAGAGAGACTTTTTCTGCTAGAGAGGGGAACATGAATCACAAGGACGTTTGATCTAGGATATCTTAAAGGTTCCAGAAGTGCACTGGGGTTTTCTAATAAGCTCTTTGAAGACCACCTTCATAGACTTTGTCCTTTGACCACATTTCAATGCAGCTTTACTATAAAGAGAAGGGAAAAAAATGGACTCAGAATGCTTCACGCTGTTCAAGGCACGACTAAAAGGTGTTATTGTGCTCTCAGTCCCCGGCTCTAAGCTCCATTACCTGGGTTTTTTCAAGTGCAGTAAAAAATTTGCTGCAGAGTGCTGCTTCTCTCTGCAGAGGTGGATATCTTCTGAATTCCTGCCTTGCCCCAGTGTTTCTGCAAAGTCTGAGAGCGCATTCGAGTCAGCTCTGTTGAATTTACGTCCAAGCGATTTGTACATAAAAGCCTGATTCATCTTGGGAGGTTAGGATGCGCAATCAAGACTTTTTAGTTTTCCATCTTGAAACATTGATCTCGGTCTACTTTCTGTAAGCCAAATGCAGAAAGCGGGGATGCAGAATGAATCTGCATGTAACAAGATTTCCGGGTGACGACAGTCGCATGTGGCGAGAAAATGGCGTACAAAATCTTTAATTTGAATTTGGTCAGATTGAAATGTATCGCAGCTGCTTGTAAGCACTAGATGAGTTTTTAAACTAACTAGTGGGAAAAGGAAGCAGTGGGATTCATCCAATCAGTTTATTTCACCATAACAGTCATACTAAAGACTATGACTAGAAACAAAAGAGTTTGTTGCCTGTGGGGTTTCCACATGTCTGCTCTACTTAAATTTAAAAAAAAAAAGATTAGTAAAGATGCAGTGAATAAGACAAACTGATCTCATCAACAGGAAAAGGAAGTAAAGAACTGTACGAGCTTCCCTGACCCACATTGAAGGGAAGCAGACCAGGCACTTAAGTAAATAAAAGACGATATCATGGGCATGTTCAATCTGCAATCACCTGATGGAACAAATAGGGATTATGTGGCACAGATAAGACTTAACTGGATTCATCTGCTGACATCTCTTTTATTTATTGCATTGAGAACCTTGCAATTTATAACATCGGTCGGTCGTCTCGCCCAAATTTTTGTTAGTGTTTTAGACAAAAAGAGATATTTGTCAACCATAGATAAAACTTAGCGGTTGTGTTCGTGTTATTTGTTAATGTTGGTGTTGTTGCATGTGTGGATGTTGTATCAGTTAATTTGTTTTGGCCACAGGGAAGTGATAGAAAATTAAGCACAGCAGCATTGATTAGGACTTTCTACAAATTAGCTGGAGTAATGTAA